AGAGCTCAAAAAACCGTGATGGTTAGTCTGATTCCCAGTTTGAACAACTCCCTGTTTCCTACTTTATCTTTTGAAAAATATAGCCTGCGTATTTCTCTGATAATATGGTGCCTCCTTTGGAGTGGAGACAATATCCTAGAATATACATAATAGGGGATTTGATCTTTAGATTTTTCAGAGTTGTCTCTTCCCAGTTTTTGCCAGCTATTGACCCTCTCTAATCATCGCTGTAATGGCTGATTTTTGTTGACTTTTCCAAATCTGATAAGAAAAAGATGTCACGTGGGTTCTAAAAATGGGTCCCTTTCTTTATCCAAATCGTGCTGGGCCTATTTTGTCTGGACCCCAAAAGTTGACTTTTTCTTTTTGAGGCCCAAGTCTGTTGGCCATATTTTGATGAGTCTTAGGCTAGGCCTCTCTGGACTTTGGGCTTTACCTTCCGTTTTGCAAAAGCACAAACTGTTTGAGTCATAAAACTTTTATTATGGGCTTTCTCCATGTTGGGCTGGGCGCGTTCAATTTAGGCCCAAACACCTTCAATTAGTTTTTACTTTTTAATGGTCTTCCAACTCTCTTATGTGTCAAATTGATCCCACCGTCAAACTACGTTAATATCACCGTCAATTTTAGGGTTAAAATAATTATTTTGTATTAAAACAGTGATAAAGTAATTAGAATTTAGGGTGAAAGTCCTGTCCATTAACCTTTAAGGGGTAAAAGGTCCAATTTACCCATAAAATTTGGAATCTGTGCCATCCATGTGATACAATCTAACGAAAAATAATACGAATGACCAATTTGAAACAAAAGAAAAAGGACAATTTCGAACAAAAACCCTGAAAATAAAAAGGAACTAGCAATACCCAGGCTGAAGCAACACTGACTCGCGAACGCCCTCAGATGAACACTTATGTTTTGAACGTCTAAAAGCTTGAATAATATTTCTGCAACTTAAAAATGGTATTTAGTACATCAAGTGATCTATGATACATCTTAGATTCAATAGTGTAGTGATAAGAAAAATTATCGACGGCCAATCCTTAAAAAAAAAAATTAAAAGCAAAATCATCGTAGCAGCAACAAGACATTCCAGGTGAAAGGGAAAATCAAAATATTGAAATGGGTTAAGAAACAAAAAATGTTATCCAATAAACATTGGAACGCATCTCCATGGGTTTGAAGGAGAAGGTTCAAGCAGAAAGGATTTTGATTTACGCACAAATAAAATCCTGGAAACAATTTTCACAGAGAATAGGTTTCCAAGAAGAACTATGTGCGAGAATCTATACACGGACAAAAAAAGCTAGAGAGAGAGAGAGAGAGAGAGAGAGAGAGAACTGATTTTCGGCTATGACTGCTCCGATTGAGTGGAGGCTCTAAGCAAGGAGGAAGTTTATAAGAATCGTAAACCCTACCTTTGCAAGGGCCCGTTATATAGGTGTTACAAGTTTCGGCTTAAGAAGGAGATATGCTAAATAACAAATTTGTCCCTGTGATTTCCTGAAGTTACAAGTTTGCAATAGGGTCACCATAATAATAGTGGCAAGCCACGTGCCAATTCTTGACATGGAAAATTTTGAGATTTTTTTCGAGAACTTATCTTTTCCGTAACACATGAATGTTTTAAAAAAAAATTAAATTAAATAAAAAGAGTCTCCCTCCAAGTTATGAATTTGGTTTCGATATGTATGTGTAGCTCGATCTTGGTACGAAACACTTGGAAAGGCTTATGAGATGTTGATTGAATGGTGAAGTCTCTTGATATGCTTTTACACTCTTGAGTTGAAATTGAGAAAGGGATTGTGAACTGCTTCAAAGGGATTTTATGATTTAGGCTTTGAGAGGAATTTGAGGGCATACGAGTGAGTTGAGCTATATAGTTAATCAGACATGTATAAGTCCCCTTTTTTGTCAAAAAATGCTTCAAGTCTTTTTTCTTTTTGGTTTGATAAAAAAAAGAGTCTTTCTTTTGGTCTACACGAGTTTTTTTTATTTTGTTCTAAGTAAGCTCCACATTGTAACAATGTTCGTCAGATTTTGCCTTGAACGCAAATAAGACACGCAAAGGTTTGTTAAAAACTATCGTCCTTTCAAGATGGGCATTTTAAAAACATGATGCTCTAAATGTTTTACACCTTATTAGATGACGGCTAACAAAATAAGGCGACAATATTTAGGACATCGTCGTCTATTGAGTATCGTCTAAGGCATTTTTTGTACTAGTTGTTGGCATGACTTGTGGTATAAGTTTACATTCCTTGCACACCAAGGATTCCTATATCAAATGTAATTGATTTACTTTAATTCCTGATTTCCTACTGTAAATAGAATTAGGAGTTATTATTTTCCTTGACCTACAACGTTTTATTGTACTATAGATATGGCCTCTGACAAGGAGAAGAATACACAAAAAATTCTCATAAATAATATTCTATGATATCTCATATTTTTGCATGTGTTTGGGCCAAAAATTGACACATCCAGCTCAAGGCTCATCAGAACAAAACAAGGCTGATTTGGGCCTCACAGGCCCAACATAATAGGAAGAGGGAGTCCAGAAAAGGGAACAATCCCACATGGCAACCTCTGGGATAAAAAGTCAGCAATGGCGGAAGTCAGCAGGGATGAAAAGTCAGCAATAGCAACTTCTGGGATAAAAAGGTCAGCAATGGCAACTGCCATAGAAGAAGTGATTGAAGGGTTCGTGACATCAAGAAGAACTGAAGATTAAATCCCCCTTATATATGTATATTCAGAGATTTTTTCTGTCTTTACAGAGAAGGTAATTCTCCCAAATAGATAAGCAAGTTACAA